TAATTGGATTTCGGTTACCTGGATATTTATCTCAGGAAAGAAAAGTCATTAAGATCACAATCAAAAATTCCCCCCCCAAAATATATGACTTAATGTTATAATAGAAGCTATAGCCACCATAAAGCCACACCTGTCCATGGATCACAATCAACAGTATCAAGGAACATAAAGTTAGCCACAGAAACATCAAGTAAAAAGGGTACATCAGTTAATCAAATGACAAAAAGTATATATATATATATATATATATACACACACACACACACACACACACATATATGTGTATATATTTATATAAAATTTTTACCCAGTTATCAAAAAGCCTAGTATTAAATTTCTGGAGATTAAAAAGTTTCATGGAAAACAAGTGACAATTCACTTATACCAACAGTAAACAAATGGGTGACCAGAAAAATATTTTTTTAATTAAAGTAAAATTAGTGTATATGCATGTATATATGTGTAAGTTCCAGGTGTTACAACACTGCAACTCAACATCTGTACTCACTATAAAGTGATCACCACCAAAACTCTAGTTACCATCCTCCGCCATACAACTGACGCCCTTCACACATTCCTTCCTCCCCCAAACCCTCTCCCATAACCGCCAATCCGCTCTCTGTATCTGAGTGTTTTTGTTTTGTTTGTTCATTTGTTTTGTGTTTTTTTACACAGAAGAACCTGAACAGACATAAGACCATGTCATTTATCCAGTCATTTTTACTATTTTTGTGATTTGCAGAATTGTTTTTAAAAAATAAATTCAACACCACCTCCACCTTAACCTACTTAAATTTTAGATCTAACAAAAATAGATCAAACAATTATGCCCCACTACCTGATAAAAAGTCTGAACAATCCAAGAAAAAAAAAACACTAGTTAACTAAGTGTTATTAAGGAACATTTGGTTTAGTACAATGAATCACATAAAAATTAACATCTGACTGTTAGTATCACAAGGTTCTACGGTTTTAAAACTCATTTAATCCTAACAAAACTCTAAGATCAACATTACTATTCTGATTTTATAAATGAGGAATATGAGGCACAAAGAAAACAAGAAACCTAGCTGAGGTCACACAGCTATCAAGAGGTGAAGCAGGTATTCAAAGCCAGAGCTCATACTCTTCACCATCCATCTACAACAAATAAGTTATTTTAACTATCTAAATGTCAGTCTCCTTACCAAAACTGACAAATAGATGGGAAAAATGGGATACAAAGCTCACTTAAATGGCAAATAATCAAAATGTTTTTAGACTGATAATGTATTACATGTTACTTGAAAAGCTGAATATTCCTCTAGTAATAAATTGCTTCATCTAGTATTCTTCTTAGACTTTTAGACTTTCCTTTGGGAACTCTTTATTTTGCACTTTTTCTAAGCACTTACACATAATTACCTCACTAAAAAAGCAACGGATTTAAAATCACAAAGGTACAACTAAAAAAAAGTCTATGAGAAAGTAAACATCTTAATATGAGGATATTTATCTCATATACTGAAAACAAATGAACGCTTCGAACCACCTAAACATCCACCAATAAAACAGAATTCTATGGAACCAAGAACAATATCCCAAAGGACTACTGAGGATGTGATAAAAGACAAACTTGTTCACAATGTACTATGTGAAAAAAACACTAAACAAGATGATCACATTTCACAAAGCACGTACGTGCTTATGTATGCACAGAAAAAAAGACAAAGAACAATGACTGTAATGGTTTTTCAATTTTTTTTTCTAAATTTTTTACAACCAAAATTACTTCCTAATATAAAAACTGATTTTTAAAAGATATAAAAGACATTACAATAAGCAAATGCAACTACTTATTGCATGTAACTATTCAAGTTTTCAAAAAACACATATTCCCTCTTCTCAGGTCTTTTCATCCTAAAAGCACGAGCGTGTAACAAAAGTTTGAAAAGCAACGAACTGAATGAGAGGATATTATTTCCCACTTAGAAAACAACATATCCTGTAAAAATCTTAATCCTAACAATACTATAAACGTGTATATATATATATCACATAACTGTTAATTTGAACACTTAATTTACAACTGTGTTTTCGGCTGATTGTAACATAACGAATTGCTCTCGCTCTCAACTTGTAAAATACAACTAGAAAAACCATTTGAACTCGGAACAAACATTTACGTTATGCAAAGCAAAAACACTAAGACAACCGGTGAACAACATGACCCACGCTAGCTTCCTTTCTGAGTAAACAATTATTTCTTTACAAACCTCTTCCCGATTGAATTTTGTGGGGCCAAGGATGGAAGTCTACCAGCAGTGGCAAAAGTACTGTGTTGTTCAAATACGTCCATTGGGGCAAGGGGAGCAAATAAAAATTTCTATCTACACACAAAGCCCGCTTTCCACTTCCTAAATTAAGAAATTACTCGTAACTCAAGGTCGCCTTCCATCTCAATATTTTGTCAAAGCAGCTAACAGGAATTGGAGGCGTTTTCATTTGAATTCGCAGCCGACTAAGAATGCTGCCTGGTGGCCGGCACAGCACCCTAGGGCCCAAATAATCTAATTATAAGATCCCAATCCTGAGATGGTCTAAAGCTCGCAAGACAAAGCGGATTTAAGTTTACTCAAGAAACGGCCGGTAGAGACCCTTTCCGGTCGCAGGCACCGGCCGGCGAAATCGGCGGAGGCCGAGAGGGGGGAGGGGAGACGCGGCGGAGGAGGAGCCGAAGAGGAACTAGGCCGTGGCCGGCGCACCACCAGGCCCGCCGCCGCGGAAGGGCAGGGGGCCATCACACGGGAGAGGGGCGAGCGTCTTAGCTCGGTTCGGGGTGAGGGAGTCGGGGTTACGGCGAAAAGAGGGAAGTTCCGCGCTGGGAAGGGAGCGGATGGGGGGGGGGCGGAAAATGGATCCCAGGCCCAGGCGGGGCCGTAGCGGGGCCCGAGGCGGGGAACGACGGCGTCCCTGAATAAAGGTGGCACGGACGGCTACGCGGGGCCCTACCGGCCCCTTGGGAGCAGAAGAGACTGGGAAGCGCCTACCTGGAAAGCTCCTGTTGAATTTCCCGGAATTTACTGACCACGAAAGACCTAAAAATCTGCTCGATGTTGGTCGCCATGGCGTCCGCTCCGTTCTCTCAACTCCTCCTCGCTAGTCCTCCAGGCTCCCAGAATGCCCCGGGAGGAGGCGCAGCGGCCAATTCCGTGTGTCGCCGTCCTGATTGGCTTCGGTGGGAACGTCCGGATCCGCACGCTCCGCCGTTGGGCCAATCAGTGAGCACGGCCCGGCTCCCCTCCGCTGTTTCTGAGCCGCCGGGGTAGAGCTGCTGACGTTTGCGCCGCGCACGACTCTGTCCGCCATGTTAGTGACTGACGCAGGCGCCATTACAGGAGCCGTCTCTCGAGGCGACTTTTGTCAGCTTGTCAGCCCCCCCCAACGGCGTTTGGGGGGGGCTGTAGAGGCTTTCTGCCCTGAACGCCCGAGATTAAACTGCGTGAGGAAAGGGGGCAAGAGGGCCGCGTGGCGTTTGACAGGGGTCTCCAAACATTCCCGAGCTGCTTCAGCAGGGAGCTGTATCCGGGAAAGCAGTCGTTAGCGCCCGCCCCCGCTGTGGTGCAACGCGGAGAACGCGATTTGCCCCGTGTCTCCCATGCCATCTTAAATCGGGGGGGGCGGGGGGCCTAAGCAACGGGCGGCAGGTCTTCAGCGACCGGCTTTCAAAGCCTAGTGTGTTTTGGTCCGTAGCCAGGCGCGTCACGAGACCTCCCCGTGCCGGCTCCGTTCCGACTCATTAGCAACACACGCTTAGATAAGTGGATGTAGCGTTTCAGGGGCTCCCCTCCTCGGAGCTGGGGGGGGCCCGAGAAGGAACAGAGACGTTGGGTGGCACTGGATGCTACGGTGTGATATCGTCAAGGCGCAAAATGGGCGGCTGCGCCCCGCACGCCCCGGGCCGCGCCCGAGAACGGGAGGAAATCACACTGGATTACCTCGCGGGAGGGACGGCGGGCGCGCGG